ACCTCCAGAAGCACGTGTCAACCCACCTCCAGAAGCACGTGTCAACCCACCTCCAAAGCACGTGTCAGCCCTACCTCCAGAAGCACGTGTCAACTCACCTCCAGAAGCACGTGTCAACCCACCTCCAGAAGCACGTGTCAACCCACCTCCAGAAGCACGTGTCAGCCTACCTCCAGAAGCACGTGTCAACTCACCTCCAGAAGCACGTGTCAACCTACCTCCAGAAGCACGTGTCAACCTACCTCCAGAAGCACGTGTCAACCTACCTCCAGAAGCACGTGTCAACCTACCTCCAGAAGCACGTGTCAACTCACCTCCAGAAGCACGTGTCAACCCACCTCCAGAAGCACGTGTCAACCCACCTCCAGAAGCACGTGTCAGCCTACCTCCAGAAGCACGTGTCAACTCACCTCCAGAAGCACGTGTCAACCCACCTACAGAAGCACGTGTCAACCTACCTCCAGAAGCACGTGTCAACTCACCTCCAGAAGCACGTGTCAACCCACCTCCAGAAGCACGTGTCAACCCACCTCCAGAAGCACGTGTCAACTCACCTCCAGAAGCACGTGTCAACCCACCTCCAGAAGCACGTGTCAACTCACTCACCTCCAGAAGCACGTGTCAACTCACCTCCAGAAGCACGTGTCAACCCACCTCCAGAAGCACGTGTCAACCCACCTCCAGAAGCACGTGTCAACTCACCTCCAGAAGCACGTGTCAACTCACCTCCAGAAGCACGTGTCAACTCACCTCCAGAAGCACGTGTCAACCCACCTCCAGAAGCACGTGTCAACCCACCTCCAGAAGCACGTGTCAACCCACCTCCAGAAGCACGTGTCAACTCACCTCCAGAAGCACGTGTCAACTCACCTCCAGAAGCACGTGTCAACCCACCTCCAGAAGCACGTGTCAACTCACCTCCAGAAGCACGTGTCAACTCACCTCCAGAAGCACGTGTCAACCCACCTCCAGAAGCACGTGTCAACCCACCTCCAGAAGCACGTGTCAACTCACCTCCAGAAGCACGTGTCAACTCACCTCCAGAAGCACGTGTCACACCCACCTCCAGAAGCACGTGTCAACCACCTCCAGAAGCACGTGTCAACCCACCTCCAGAAGCACGTGTCAACTCACCTCCAGAAGCACGTGTCAACTCACCTCCAGAAGCACGTGTCAACCCACCTCCAGAAGCACGTGTCAACTCACCTCCAGAAGCACGTGTCAACTCACCTCCAGAAGCACATGTCAACCCACCTCCAGAAGCACGTGTCAACCCACCTCCAGAAGCACGTGTCAACTCACCTCCAGAAGCACGTGTCAACCCACCTCCAGAAGCACGTGTCAACCCACCTCCAGAAGCACGTGTCAACCTACCTCCAGAAGCACGTGTCAGCCCACCTCCAGAAGCACGTGTCAACCTACCTCCAGAAGCACGTGTCAACCTACCTCCAGAAGCACGTGTCAACCCACCTCCAGAAGCACGTGTCAACCTACCTCCAGAAGCACGTGTCAGCCCACCTCCAGAAGCACGTGTCAACCTACCTCCAGAAGCACGTGTCAACCATACCTCCAGAAGCACGTGTCAACCTACCTCCAAAGCACGTGTCAACCTACCTCCAGAAGCACGTGTCAACCCACCTCCAGAAGCACGTGTCAACCTACCTCCAGAAGCACGTGTCAACCTACCTCCAGAAGCACGTGTCAACCTACCTCCAGAAGCACGTGTCAACCTACCTCCAGAAGCACGTGTCAACCTACCTCCAGAAGCACGTGTCAACCTACCTCCAGAAGCACGTGTCAACCCACCTCCAGAAGCACGTGTCAACCTACCTCCAGAACACGTGTCAACCTACCTCCAGAAGCACGTGTCAACCTACCTCCAGAAGCACGTGTCAACCTACCTCCAGAAGCACGTGTCAACCTACCTCCAGAAGCACGTGTCAACCTACCTCCAGAAGCACGTGTCAACCCACCTCCAGAAGCACGTGTCAACCTACCTCCAGAAGCACGTGTCAACCCACCTCCAGAAGCACGTGTCAAACCTACCTCCAGAAGCACGTGTCAACCTACCTCCAGAAGCACGTGTCAACCTACCTCCAGAACACGTGTCAACCTACCTCCAGAAGCACGTGCAACCTACCTCCAGAAGCACGTGTCAACCTACCTCCAGAAGCACGTGTCAAACCTACCTCCAGAAGCACGTGTCAACCCACCTCCAGAAGCACGTGTCAACCTACCTCCAGAAGCACGTGTCAACCTACCTCCAGAAGCACGTGTCAACCTACCTCCAGAAGCACGTGTCAACCTACCTCCAGAAGCACGTGTCAACCTACCTCCAGAAGCACGTGTCAACCTACCTCCAGAAGCACGTGTCAACCTACCTCCAGAAGCACGTGTCAACCTACCTCCAGAAGCACGTGTCAACCTACCTCCAGAAGCACGTGTCAACCTACCTCCAGAAGCACGTGTCAACCTACCTCCAGAAGCACGTGTCAACCTACCTCCAGAAGCACGTGTCAACCTACCTCCAGAAGCACGTGTCAACCCACCTCCAGAAGCACGTGTCAACCCACCTCCAGAAGCACGTGTCAACCCACCTCCAGAAGCACGTGTCAACCCACCTCCAGAAGCACGTGTCAACCCACCTCGGAAGCACGTGTCAACTCACCTCCAGAAGCACGTGTCAACCCACCTCCAGAAGCACGTGTCAACCCACCTCCAGAAGCACGTGTCAACTCACCTCCAGAAGCACGTGTCCAACTCACCTCCAGAAGCACGTGTCAGCCCACCTCCAGAAGCACGTGTCAACCCACCTCCAGAAGCACGTGTCAACCCACCTCCAGAAGCACGTGTCAACCCACCTCCAGAAGCACGTGTCAACTCACCTCCAGAAGCACGTGTCAACTCACCTCCAGAAGCACGTGTCAGCCCACCTCCAGAAGCACGTGTCAACCCACCTCCAGAAGCACGTGTCAACCCACCTCAGAAGCACGTGTCAACTCACCTCCAGAAGCACGTGTCAGCCCACCTCCAGAAGCACGTGTCAACCTACCTCCAGAACCGCGTTTGAACTGAATAACGCCGGTGACGCCAAGCTCGTAACTACAAAAAAGGCATCGAGGAATCTAAAAAAACTTCATAAGGCACAAGTACAACTCACCGAAATTGTAAAAAGAAAAAAAAATAAATAGGGCTGACATCACTAGAAGAATGGAGAACGAAACCCTTCAAAGGAAGGGTGGGAGGGTTGCCATGATGATTAAGGGCTCTTGATACAAGGCATAGGAGCTATCCTCTCCTTGGACGAAACCTAATGACCTCCCATTTCCCCATGCGCTGCTTAATTTCTATGGGTTTAATTCTTCTCCCTGTATATGTTATTATAATTTAATTATTAAGGAGAGAGGACATACGCTCATGATATACAAAATACTCGAACATTGTTTAGAGTGAGAGAAGCCCGAACAAGACTTCAATACCAAGTTTTCCAACTGTCTCAGGTCTGCGACACAGCAATATTTGTAATGTCTTAGGCAATAACCAGGGATCAAATATATCAAATTATGACAGAAAGATGATAGAGGTATTGATGGAATGTAGATCATAACGGGAAATGGAGCGATCTGATGTCCCTCAAGCCCCTGGTCGTCCTGAAGTTTTGAGGGGGCTGATCTGTTGTCTCATATGTTCAAAGCACTTTTTTTTTTTTTTGATTCACCCTTCACCTGACTTCTGTTGTCTTGTAGCCTCTTCACCTGTCCTGACTTTTGGCTTATTTTCCATTTTCTTATTTGTAACTTGATGATGGTCCACGTCTAACTGAAATACTGTTTTAAAGATTTATCTCCAATATGTGGGTTAGTTGTGAACTCTTCCGGTCACCGTCGTGTTGCTAAGTTAGAGCTTTAGTGATTTTTTTTACTGTATCTATGCCCTTTCTTCTGTAAAGAAAGCAGATGCTTGCGTGAATTTTGTATAAGAGAGTGACAATAACATACTTTTATCTAGTACTTCCTTATTCACAACGTTTTCAGAATTTGTACATGAAATTTTAGATGACCTTTCAGTTCGTCTTGAATTATGATCAAGTCATGATTGAGAAACTAAAAAGGAAGTCGGAAACAAGAATCAAGGAAAACAATAATTCGTTTTTCTTTCACTCAGACCACGGGAAAGCCGATGGTTGCTGTTGTCGTGGCCCACCACTAGACCATTGTCTACCCCACTTTATCGTGTCGCAAGACACTCTTGTCGCACCTTCCCCTCCTCGCCATAGTGCCGGCACCACTGAACAAGTCAACTTATGATAGGTGATATTTCCCGGATGATTAAATACACAACACCATTAGTTGAGGAGACAGCTTAAGGCAAGACCCCTCTCCTCTCTTGACCCGGGCAGCTTCTCATTTCCTAAGCTTATATTCCGAGGTTACTACACAAATTTTATTGTGTATATTAAAAAGTAAACATTCCAGATAATAATAAAAATACTACTACTTAATTACTATTTCTACTGTGATTAATATTACTGCTATCACTACTACTACTGATTTTACTGTTATAACTACTACTGCTATTATTGTATTAATTATCGTTTGAAGAGTTGCAATTTCATTTTCAACTAAAATCATCACAAGAGATATTTCACAAATTAGCTTTAAGTAAACTCTCAGTGTGTTTAACCATGAGATGTTTAACGTACATGTACAATTCAATTATATCAATATTTCACAGCTAACTCACATATTGTAGATGAGAGATTGATTGGAGGCTATAATTACCGGTAATTTTAATTATTCACCTGGAGGCCCTCCTTACCTTTCAAGGAGCTGCATTGATGCTAAGGAAGGGCTCTTGATTCAGAGAATTGTAGCTACCTGTTCCCCTGTAGTTGATAAAAACACAAGCAGCAATTGATTCTAACCTGATTACCTCTCCTTCCCCAAGCGTTCTATAACCCTTGCTGGTTTAACCCTCTCCCTTGAATATAATAAGTATACCTGGAAGATATCGTCATAGTCGATCTCCTTAAGAGTGGGGATATACTGCAGGAGGAAACTGACGGGCCTGGCAGAGATAACACAGCCGGTGATAGCCAACTTAACCAACTTCTGGCACATGGGGCGGTCGTTCTCTTCGTCGTAGGAGAGACGGATAAGTCCGGCTTCCGTGATGGGTGTGTTGGAGATGTCCAGTTCCCTAATTTCTGGACAGTGACGGCCAATGAGCTCCAGCACCTGCAAGACGAGTGGAGGGCATGAGTGGAATTAGTCCGGTTATATTTTCTAGTGGTGCATCAAGAGTGTAATGCTACCCGTATATATGTTACATATTGGAAACAAAGGCTAGCTATTTTTTCCTGTTTGTGAGGAAGGGGGTGAGTGGAAGGAGAGTCAGCATTTTTTTTTTTTTTTTTTTTAGGATTCGGGATGAATATAGAGTATGAAACGAATATTTTTACGCATTTATCATTTTTTGATAACTTCCCTCCAATTCTCCCTCCCCCTCCCTCTCTCTCTCTCTCTCTCTTTGTTACAATATTCTAATTTTAACTATCCAGGCAGAATTAGACTACCTAGACTAATTAATCCTCGGCAGATAGTCTTGATACAGTTTTTTTTTTTTGCTTTCTGCCCATTTCCCTGTATATACTCTTTCTGCCTCTTTTTCTTCCCTGTTGCCATTCTCTAAGATTAACTTCCTCCCAGCATCTGGTTTCGACTTACTTGGTCGACGGTCTCAGTCATGCTGAGGTTGAGCACTGTGACTTGCGTGAGGCTGGGCACGAGCCGGATCAGAATTGGAGGTCCTACAGTCCGCAGGTATGACAGGTCCAGCCGTCGGAGGCGCTGTGGGGAAGGTAGTTAATGTAAATGTCTGTTTCTAGGCTGACTTGTTATTATTATTATTATTATTATTATTATTATTATTATTATTATTATTATTATTATTATTGTGCAGTGGTAACCCTGTCGGCTCACAAAGAAAGAACCCGAGTTCAGTCCCGGGTGAGTCGAGACAGGCAAGTCACCTCACAAATGTTGTCATAGTTTATATAACAGCCAATAAATACCAGGGTAATAATATCTTACAGCATTCTTTAATTATCTGGTTTTCTGTTTTGATGATTGCTAATTCAGTGGCGTGTAGCAGCCACAATCCTTTGATATGGACAGCCAGATAATAAATCCAGGAACAAGCCACATAAATAAAAGATATGAGTTAGATGTAAAAATACCAGTACTAGAATTTATTGCAGTTTGAGTACCTTAAACAAGTAATAAGAGTGTTAGCCCACTGTTGTGAGTGGTACCTGAGTGGCATCTTGTGTTTGCGTTAGTGCCAGCGTAGAAGGAAACCATCGCCTCAATCTCAGACAGTGATGACTCTCATACAGAAATTGGAGCACGCACTAACAACTGGGCCTCTACCCTTCAAACAAAACTGTTTGCCATACTCCATGCACTCAAATGCGTCCATGTATCGAAGTCTGACACTCTGTAGCTTATTCTCTGTCATCTGTAAATGCCCCCATCTCATTAAGTATAAATTGTGGCATGCTTGTGTCAGAAGCCAGACACAGGTATGGTAGGATTGTAGACAGTGGAGTCAAAGTACACAAGTATCTTTGGGAGGTTAAATCACCACCACAAGATGTAAACTTTGCCAGATGGACTATTGTCGCACCTTGCGTCATAATGTACTGGAATGCGATGAAATTAATAAATTCAGAGACAACTCATTCAGAAATGTTCAAGATATGTCATATTACAAACCATTCTGGACAAATACCCTGACTTTGATCCCTGTAAATAAAGCTAATAATTGCATTAATAACTCGTTGTAATTGTGATCAGGTGTGGACGTGTGAATAGTTCATTATCTTTGTAACTTGTTCAGCTATCAAAGCTTTGCGGTCCAGTCCCTGGACCCATTATGTACCTCTGCAATCTTTTTGACTACCGCCCACAGTATGGGTATGAGATACACAATAAAAATATTAAACTAACTCAATCCCTTCGTTGTGTTGAAACTTCAGAAATTCCGTGTCTTTAAGAACTTCATGGGTGGCATTTTAGATACCTATTATACTAGGAAGAGTTCCTAGTTCACCAGATGATTTTACGTATGGTTGCAAACATTTTGCTCCATTCATTAGAGACAAACGGACCGTGAAGAACTAATGGACAGTAAGCTAGTGGGCTGCCACAAACTAGTGAACCAATTAGAGACAAAATTAGCGATGTTTCACTATAAAAAAGATGTTACGTTTTATATCGCATTTATTGCCTAATTTTAAACACTTATACATGGTGTTTACCTGGAGAGAGTTCCGGGGGTCAACGCCCCCGCGGCCCGGTCTGTGACCAGGCCTCCTGATGGATCAGAGCCTGATCAACCAGGCTGTTGCTGCTGGCTGCACGCAAACCAACGTACGAGCCACAGCCCGGCTGGTCAGGAACCGACTTTAGGTGCTTGTCCAGTGCCAGGTTGAAGAGTGCCAGAGGTCTGTTGGTAATCCCCCTTATGTATGCTGGGAGGCAGTTGAACAGTCTCGGGCCCCTGACACTTATTGTATGGTCTCTTAACGTACTAGTGACACCCCTGCTTTTCATTGGGGGGGATGTTGCATCGTCTGCCAAGTCTTTTTGTTGCATCGTCTGCCAAGTCTTTTGCTTTCTTAGTGAGTGATTTTCGTGTGCAAGTTCGGTACTAGTCCCTCTAGGATTTTCCAGGTGTATATAATCATGTATCTCTCCCTCCTGCGTTCCAGGGAATACAGGCTTAGGAACCTCAAGCGCTCCCAGTAATTGAGGTGTTTTATCTCCGTTATGCGCGCCGTGAAAGTTCTCTGTACATTTTCTAGGTCGGCAATTTCACCTGCCTTGAAAGGTGCTGTTAGTGTGCAGCAATATTCCAGCCTAGATAGAACAATTGACCTGAAGAGTGTCATCATAGGCTTGCCCTTCCTAGTTTTGAAGGTTCTCATTATCCATCCTGTCATTTTTCTAGCAGATGCGATTGATACAATGTTATGGTCCTTGAAGGTGAGATCCTCCGACATGATCACTCCCAGGTCTTTGACGTTGGTGTTTCGCTCTATTTTGTGGCCAGAATTTGTTTTGTACTCTGATGAAGATTTAATTTCCTCGTGTTTACCATATCTGAGTAATTGAAATTTCTCATCGTGTAATATCAGTTTAAGGAAGCATGGCGTCTCAGTGGTTTAGGAAAAAAATTGTCGTACAGTAAGATAAGATTTACTGTCTCAAGAAGAAATTCCCGAAATTCAATATAGCAAATTGCATTTGGAAGGAATATGATGGATCGTACAAAATATCGCCTAAAATTAATAAAGGAATTTAAATCCTGGATGACATCTAGTTTAGTTAGTTAAATTGTGATCGAAATATGAGGTACAAAATATCGTTGATATTTGATGAACCAAGTGAAATAACATTAGAAAAACCCTAGAAAAAAAAAATTCTTTTATTTAAATAACATCAAATGCTGATGTTTAAATAAAAGACAAAAAACGTAAAAAGTAAATTAGAATCTATAAACTATTTAAGGAAGTTTTGACAAAAGAAAAAAAAAACATGTAAGGAACTGTAAACGTTGACTTTTGGTGAAACAAAGAAAATATCTACAAGAATGGAGGTGTTAGAGTAGTAGGAAATGGGAATGTGAAATATGACTGACCGACCCAGATGAGGGAGAGGGCAGGGAATTTCAAGTATTTCGGAGGCATATATTACTGAGGAATGGTGGAGAGGGAGGAAAGGTGGTAGGAAGACAGGGGGGCCGGGATGGCACAAAGGAGGGAGAGCGAGAAAGTAGATGAGGCTGGAGCAGTATACGCTTTTGTTATTGTTAGTCTTCTTCATAATAGTAGTAGTATCAGCAGTAGTAGTATCAACAGTAGTAGTATTAACAGTAGTAGTATCAGCAGTAGTAGTATCAGCAGTAGTAGTATCAACAGTAGTAGTATCAGCAGTAGTAGTATCAACAGTAGTAGTATCAACAGTAGTGTAGCACAGTAGTAGAACTTGAAACTGAATTCTCACCATCACCTGAATTGTGTTGTTTTATTTTTCATATATAGACCAGTATATACAGTTTCGTCAGATTTCTCCTCCATGGTCAAACACACAATCTATGAATTTATATAGAGCCTAAGATATGAAATACTATACTAAAACAATATGTTAGAGAAAAAGGTTGTAAATTATTTCGTAGCCTGTTGATGGAACATATCTATCGATGGTTCGTATAAGTAGCACTTCCTCTTAATGGAGATTAAGTTGGTGTAAATTAGGTTAACTTACGTTCGAAAGAATGAACAGAGATAAACTGTTGAACAGAATGAACGGGAATTAACAGTTGCCGGGATTGCAGCAATATCCTTATTATTCTAATAATTTATTGTTCTTCCGAAGTTGCCATGGAACTAAGGGCACTAATATCTTGTCACTTAAACATTATTATTATCTTGGGTGTGTATTCGGATTACAGGTTATACATCACTGAAAATTATGTGCTGGTCAACACGCAAGCTTAACCTGGGCAGGAGGACCCGTGTTTAGCCCTCATTCTCGTTACCCGTCATCATCATCATCCCTCCAGGACCAGCACCTCAAAGGTAAACACTCCACGCTTCAGATTTTTTTTTGCATACTAACTCAAGCTGAAAAAATAGTATTCATGAAGGAAAAAAAACGGGGAAGGCAGCCGTTGTGCTCAAATAATAGTCTCCATGCTGGGTTTTAATCACGTTCTTTATAATGAATACATATTCATAACGCATTTCTTAATTAAAGTTTAAATGTTTTTATTATGAATCCCGTGAAGACTTTCTCCAAGTAAAGCAATTAAACTTATTTTGCATTAATAAGTTTTAAGCAGATTTAGGTTGCTAGGTTAATTTTAGGGTAAAATAAAAAAAGTAATTTAAATAAATTAACTTTTCTCATTATTAGTCACAGAAGCACCAAAAAAGTTTATCTAAATATAAAACACTAAAGAAAAGTGGACTACACTTATGTTTGATAATTAAGATCTATATAGCAGAACAAGCCACCTTTTGGAGTGCCAAAATTAACACTGAAAGAGGCAGCTAATGAGGCTGCGTTAAAAATAAACGGTTCATGAAACTCTTCGAAAATACCAATAAAAACACAGCTTGATCTGATGAATAAGACAGGTATGCAACGCCTGAGTATATTAAATTTAACGAGACATTTTACCTGTGCGGCTGACTTTTATCAGCGTAATGCAGAGGCGACTATTACTCTGGAGAAGAAGTGGAGAAGTAATTTTAAGATGTTCAGTCCCTTAGCCTTGATACTATGTGTTCATTCCCTTAGCCTTGATAATAGGCGTTCAGTCCCTTAACCTTGATAGTAGGTGTTTAGCCCCTTAGCCTTGATAGTAGGCGTTCAATCCCTTTGCCTTGATAGTAGATGTTCAATCCATTAGCCTTAATAGTAGGTGTTCAATCCCTTAGCCTTGATAGTAGGTGTTCAGTCCCTTAGCTTTGATACTATATTCAGTCCCTTAGCCTGAGAGTAGGTGTTCACTCACTTAGTCTTGATACTATGTGTTCAGTCCCTTAGCCTTGATACTATGTGTTCATTCCCTTAGCCTTGATAATAGGCGTTCAGTCCCTTAGCCTTGATAGTAGGTGTTTAGCCCCTTAGCCTTGATAGTAGGCGTTCAATCCATTAGCCTTAATAGTAGGTGTTCAATCCCTTAGCTTTGATACTATATTCAGTCCCTTAGCCTGAGAGTAGGTGTTCACTCAGTCTTGATACTATGTGTTCAGTCCCATAGCCTTGATAACAGGTGC